TTCAACAGTTTTTGAAATCACATCAAAGTTATCAACAAGAGAGCTGTTGCTGTGCACTTAACTAGTTAATATGTATTGTGTTGAAGCAAGTTATGTAATTTTATTGGTGGTGGTGCTGGTGGGGGGATATATTAACTGGATCAAATTATGGTGGGGTCATGGCCTTAATTATTCATGTCTGATTCAATAAGACTTTAAAATGATTTCTCTCTTACTGGTGAGGCTGTGGTCAAACATTTCCACAAACTGACTTTAAATTCATTTTGGTGTTAAGGAGAATCAGATTTTATATTAAGATTTTCTTTATAAAATGGTTAGCTTTGTTTAATCCAAGTTAAAAAAAAAGAGCAATAACTAAACGTCACATCTGAACACTATTAACCATCACTTTTCAACTGAATCACCCTGTTGGCTATAAAGTTTACTGGATTCAGGGTTTTATGACTCTTCTGATTTGTTTATAAGAGGATGTATTAACATATTTATTAGAGGTACAACAATATCAAAAATTCATGATTCGGTTCGATACTTTAGCCTCACAGTACAATATTTTTTTCAATACAAAAACGAGAAATGTTCATGGCCTTTTTAACTTGTAATTTATTTAAATTAGCTATGAACATTTGTTTAACCTCAAAAGTACAGTTTTTAAATTAAATGTTGCTGAAACAGCAGGTTTATCAATGAATCTGTGCTCCGTCATGCAGCCTAGGTGGAGTAACTGAACACAGATCCTCTGAGCCTTCAACACAGAGCATCTTCAGAAGACAACTTGATAAAATTAATTTATTTATTGTTCGGCACAAGTGTGTATTAAACTTAAAGCAGTTTATTGAATAGCTCAATCCAGACATATATTGTTGCACCCCTAAAATTTATTTTATTCTAATATTTGTTTTGATCAAATTAATATCTGGATTTCTAACTAGTAGAAAGAACTGTTTATGACAAGAACTGAAAAACCAAGAACCTTTGGAGAACTTATACACAATATGAACAATACTGTATTTGGCACTAAATCTCAAAATGGTGTTTGTGTGGTTTGAGTTGTTTTCAAAATGTACTGAAATACAGCATCTATGTATAAATATTCCATAGGCTCCATGGTTTGCAGCTCTAACCGTTGTCTGCAGTTTAAATAGCAGTTGTTAAAGCTGCAGCTGGCAGCTCAGGGTGGTGCAGTTCAAAACATTTGCATATCGTGGAAAAAGTTATACTTTCTTTCAGTCTGTTCAGACTTTTTTAAAATTATTATTATTTAGAAGGGACAATGCACATTAATTTACATTTTTGTAAATGTGCCAGAGTTAGCCAAAGGCTATTTTTCATATGTTGTCCCCGGAAAAAGTGAAAAAAAGTGAAACGTTTATGTTATATAGATTGGTTATACATAGAGGGAAATCTTTCAAGGCTTTATTTGTCCTAATTTAGATGATTACAGCTTACAAATAACGAAAAAAGACAAAATTCATTGTCTCAGAAAATTTGAATGTTACATAGCCAGTTTATCGTATGTTTGGCAGATCATGTTTTTTAAATGTGTGTGACTGTGGTTTTGTCGGATTAAGTTATGTTTATGAAAAAAAACTATTTGATTCAAATCTAACAGCTTGTTGTGCTGTGAAACTGACTGATTCAAACTGAGTCTTAATGAGGCTCTCTGCTGTCAGTCAGACTTTTTGGTTTTCTGGCAACATAAAACAGTAAACATTGGAGTTTACATTTGAACTAAAGACTTCACTAACAACACTTTCTTCTTTGATGGCCACGGTGTTCTGCCGATGATGCGTTCATGCTCATGTCATCACACTTCACAATTTTTCTTCTCTTGGCTGCTTTGTTCTCGTTTTTTTTTTCTTTGGTTTTAATTCAGTTATTTCTACATGTTTCTCAATTTATGTCAGTGAAAATATATTTTCTATTGTGAATTATAATCCTCTATAAATAAAAAAGTTATAAAATGCCCTTTAATATTTGTTTATGTTTTTAATCTTTTTTTTCCTCTTACATGTAACTGATTCATGAGGAAACAGCAGCAGCTGAAGATCAAGCTAAAGACCTTCTTTTACTTGTTTTTTGTCCTTCATTACTTCGACAACAGAACAAAACACTTGACAGAAAATCCTTGAGGAGAATAACGGAAGGTGAACGTGGGCTGTAATGTTTTGACAGCCTACCTGTTTGGCTGTGAAATAGGCCATGGCAGTGTCAGTGACATGGTAGGCCTGCAGGCTCAGCTCTGACAGGTTGGGCAGAAGCTGTGAGATTGCAGCGATGGCGTCATCAGCCACATTGATGCAGTCGCTGACGCTGAGGGACGTTAGCCTGGCGTTGAGACTGGACCACAGGCCCGCTTCTGTGAAGTCATTGCAGCCTGACAGTTCGAGGTGCATCAAGCCTTGCATTTGCTCCAACATGACCTGCAAAACAACCAACACATCCATTACCTTTACTGTGGCACTAATAAATATGTTGTACATTTTGTTTTTTTAGAAATGATAAATGAGGTAAGAAATTTGTATTTCATTAGAACAGCAAAAGCTCAAAGATGCTTTCTGAATCATATATAGCATGTGCTTGTGTAGGAAAATACAAATGTTGGAGAAGAAAGAAAGTAACTGGATTTCTGTTCTGTAGTTGAAGATTTTTCTCCTCCCATCCATGGAGCTTCTTCAATTTAGAACTAGAAAGTGTTGAGTTCTAAGCTTTCGAGTGCATGAGATGTTTCTTTTATGCAGCTAAGTTTGCAAAAATTCTCACTCTTTACCCTCCACAGGGACCATTGGGGTTTTAGTTGGACAGGCTCACAGAGAGATGTTTTGGTCTCATGAATGAAGGTATAAATTATGGGGAAAATGACTGGTTATCAGACTTAATGCTTCATTAGTGTTAGTAACTTAAAATCTGATTTTTTTTTTTGTTTTAGGATTATCTTCCTCATTTGACTTTCTGTTTTCTCTGTCTAAAATTTGAACATTTTGCTTCTCATAAGAGTATTCCTTGAAGTGTAGATGCACATGTCTTTTCCTGAAGAGCTGGATCTCATGTGTTGAGCCATGTGACTGTGGAGAAGCTGTTTAGTTTCTCCAATATCAAGATCAGGAGTCAGACTTATAAAGTTTGCGTACGCGCAATGTGAGCCCAGAAACTTGCGTACGCCACTTTTCACGCCAAAGTTGTCATTTATAAAATCCAAACTTGACGTGAAAATGTGCGGTGCCTCATGCCAGCTTTGACCCATGCGTACGCTCATTTTGGAGACGGGAAACTGCGACTGAGTTGGTGAAGTGAAGAATTATAGCCGCACTGTGTAATGATCACTGTCAGATATTTAATTTACCTTCAGAATCAGACTTAGATTTTAGATAGACTTTAGCTTTCTTAACAGTAATATTTATGCTTCTCCTGCTGATCCATAAGGATTTTGAAATAAAAAAAACTTAAAGGCACAGTGTGTAGGATTTGTTGTTTTCAGCGACATCTAGTGGTTGAATCATCCTCCCTGGTCCTCCCC